TGTGAGTCACTAAGCAAAAATGTTTTCTTAAAGAAAGAAGTTAGAAGCAGAAAAACCTAAATTAGAAGATACATTACCATTCTTATTAACTATCTTCCTACTTCATAATGTACACAATGAACTAAATGCAAAAGTTCACTGTGACCTGTTGAAAGTAAGGGAAGTGATTCATCATTAAAACAAGAATCATACACACTGAAAAGACCAAGTAGCTTAGGCATAACTCTCACAATGAGAACACAGTCACTGCAGCAAATAGGAACTACCCAATAGTGAAATCTGTCATGCCACATCGTAACTGTATTTCTGACTTCTGATATTCTACCATAGGATTTTCTTAACTCTTTAAAAAAAGTTTTTCCAATGTTCTCTCATGTTTCATCTTTATTCAAATGGGCTGTATGAGAAATGAGAAACTTCAAAAAGGAGCAAGAAATGAAGGAAGGGGGTGAGGGACAGACAGAGGAAGGATAGGCAAGAAAGAAAGAAAAGATGGAAGGGACACAGGCTCCATTTTCAGAGTTGTGTAGGCAATTATTACTGCCATGATATTCTCCTCTTAGTTAGGGAAGGATCCAATCACAAACAACCCAGAGTATACGCAAAAGATAATCAAAAGAGGACTTTTTTTTTTTTTGATGGTACCAGGGTTTGATCTCAGGGATTTGAAATTGCTAGATAGATGCTCTACCACTTGAGCCACACCTCCAGTCCCTTTTGTTCTATTTATATTGGAGATAGAGTCTCAGGCCAGCCTGGACCATGGTCCTTCTGAATCCATGCCTATGAATTGACATCCTTTTTCCTGGTTTACGTGAGTTGGATTATTTATATCCCAGACTCTTGTCACTGACTCTCTCAGGAAGAATAACATTACAATGAAGGCATATCAGACTGCATGCCCCACTTCCTCCTGATAAAGCTCTGTGCAAATCCACTTATGACAAAATTAAGTCATTACCTCCGCATTTCTCAATTTGTGGTGGTAAGTACAGAGTACCATTGGATTTGAGTAAATCTTTGTGTCGTATGAATCTGAAGTTCAGTAAGAGTTTTATTTTTAATCCCAGAATTATCCTTCAAGAAACACTGCATTATGCATCAGTCCTTACAAGACATCTCATAGTGTGAGGCTCTCTAAGGCATTGTGAATGACAGTATGTTCTTTAGAGAAGACAATTGTTTAGCATATGCTAATTGTAAACAGAGGTTTCATTGTGATATGACGGAGACAAATTAACTTGAAATAACTTCAGTCAGTGGTACTCTGGGATGCTGTTAGCAAGATTATCTGATAAAATAAAAAGAAGTAAAGAAATTATATAAACATTTAAACTTGGCCTTATCATGGAGCCAATTGAACTAAATCCAATAGCACAGTTCTGTACCAAGTTGATCTTGCTGTGAACTTTGCTCTATGCTAGTTTGGTCCATGCCCCTGGGATGGACTCCTCCCCTTTCTCCTGACTTCTGTCTCCTTTGAAGCCATCTGCCCCTGGAGGTTCTGTTTCTTACAGGGCGTCATCTTGTAGGAGGTTGGAAATCGACTCCGTCCTCCAAACAAATCCTGGTTTCTCTGTATCTGGGTGTCTCATCACTTTGATTTTGGCCATTTTTAACCACTTTTCCATATGACAGTATGAAAGTTAAAATAAATGCAATCATGGAGCTGGGCACTGGTGGCTCATACCTATAATCCTAGTTACTTGGAAGGCTGAAATCAGGAAGATTGAGGTTAGAGACCAGCCTGGACAAACAAGATGGGGTCAAGAGACCCCATCTCAACCAAAATCTGGGTGCTGGTGGCTCACGTCTGTCAGCAAAAGCTATGTGAGAGGTTGAGAATGGGAGTATTATTCCAGGTCACCCTGGCAAAAAGTTTGCAATACCCCATCTCAATGGCAAGAAACATCCTGGGTGTGGTGGCAGGCATCTGTCATCCCAGCTATGGCAGGAAGTGTAAAAAAGGAGGATCTCAGTCCAGATTGGCCTGAGCAAATAACGAGAGCCTATCTCCAAAACAACCAGAGAAAAAAGGGCTGGAGGCATGGCTCAAGCAGTACAGCACCTGCCTAGCAAGCCTGAAGCTCTGAGTTCAAACTCTTACCACCAAATAAATAAATTAATTAATGTAATCATGGAATATAAGGCTGCCTTAAGTGATATCATTCTTCTCCAGAGTGAAAACACTATGTTAGACCACATCCCCTGTCCCTCCCTCCAACATTTTTATACTAAAGAGCTCAGAAACTTGTACTTCAAATGACTTCAAAACAGTAGTCACTGATACTTACTGAGCACTTCTTAAACAAGTGCTTGGGGCTGAAAACACTAAAATGAAATAATTCTTGCAAATAATTCAGTCTTAGATAAAAAGGAAATCCTTAAATGGGATATTCCTAAATAAAAGTTGCAAAACAATGAAGGAAAAGGCTACCAGGAGAGTGCAACAGGAAGAGCCAGTGACTCCTCACGGCCTCATGGGCTGTGAGGCATGCCTCGTGTGGCTGCATCCCTCCTCATTTCCATTGTGGTCCATTTGGTCAGTCTTCCATCATAAAAGCAGCAATGCTGAAATAAGAACAATTAGGGCAAGCTCCAATCCCAGCTGGCTCATCCTCCCTGGCTACGAAAAACACTGGGTCCCTGCAGAATCCCACCCCTATCGTGATGTGATTACAGGGTGGCAGTTGCATAAAAGCATCGTATTTAAAGTTAGGGTTATGGATAAGTCAGAGGTCATGAGGACTGAAGGGAGACGGGCAGGTAAAGGTAACCCGCATGCACAGACAGGTGGAAGCAGACACCATGTAGGGATTTGGTCTATTTTATTGGCTGCGTGTATTTCAGGACTTAAAATAGCACCTGGTAAATAATAAGGGTGCAGTATACAGTTATTGAAGAAGGATAGAGGGAAGTAGAAAAGAAGGAAATTAGAAAGGGAAAAGGGAAGATAGGAAGGAAAGGAGGGAAGGAAGGTAGAAGGAAGGGAGGGGTTTAAATAAATGGTATCACTGAAGGTGGGAAATTCAGCAATGACTGTGAAGATGGTAGAGTCCAGTTTAGAAAACATGGGCATAGAGTAAAGGAACAAAGGGTTTCGGTAAGGAAGATAAGAAAGATTATAGAATCTTGGATGGTGGGGTAAAGCCCTAGAATAGTAGGAGACAACACGGAATTTTGTAGGGTTATATCACCAATCCCCAGGAAGACTCTGAATGTTCTATACAGGAATCTGCCATTTCTATTCTGTGATACAACTGAAGAGTCTTTTAAAGCTACTGGGAGAAAATTCAACATTGATGACCCTGATGGATTCTAGATTTCAGCATTAGAGCGTCTGCGCTTTCTAGGGCAAATATGCTAATATGCTGCAGAATAGAGAGTGCCGGTGCAGGGATCAGAGCACCTCCAGGTCTTTCTTCTAGCTCCAAAGTACGTAAATGTGTGATTTGTGAGGAAGTCCTAATTTCTAAAGTTTAGGAAATTACGAAGACTTGTGAAGATAAAGCTGAAACATGAAGGAGGAAATTCAGGTGAGGACTCAAAAACTTTTAATCTGCAGAGAAAGTAAGTATATTCTCTTAGTCACTACTTACTGAGCTCCTCCCTAACCCAGGCATTGTTGTAGATACACTTGAGACCTAGGTGTTGCCCTTAACTGACTGAAAACAAATGTCTAATCATGAAATTATAAAATACCATGAGTGATCTAATTAGGTAAATATTATAAAGTGCCCAGTTTGTTAACTGGCTGATTTTGTCCAAACACATTGGCCAAAACTTTAGGGAGGAGGTAACATTTGAGTAGGCTTTAAACTTGATAAATATTGGCCTAAATATAGCATTTCTCAAAGAAGAGACACTTAACATTGATGGAACACAGCTGTTTTTAGATGGTACTCTGGAGAAAACATGTTTAGTTTCAATAATTATGTACATATTTCACTATGATTTTGAAAGGTTGTATCGCTGTATAAAACCCATGGTTTCTGGACAGTATAGTGTAGGATGTTAAGTATAAACTAACTAACTAATTGATTAACTAGATAGATAGATAGATAGATAGATAGATAGATAGATAGATAGAGATAGATGGATTGATTGGAAAGGGAGTAAGATTTTCTTCTATAACCCTGGCTTTTTTGATCTTCCTTACTCTGTTTTATTTTCATTCAAATGATCAGTTAAAAATCTGTCTTTAGTGCTGAGTGTAGTGGTGTACATCTGTAATCCCAGCTACTCCAGAGGCAAAGGCAGGAGGATCATGAGTTGGAGGTCAGTCAAGGAAAAGGTCTCCAAACCAAAAAAAAAAAAAAAAAAAGCCTAAAGTCTGGGGGCATGTCTCAAGTGGTAGAGAACTCACTTAGCATATGCAAAGCCTTGGGTCCAATCCACAGTCCTGAAAAAATATCTTAATTTAATTTTTCTAATGTTTACCATATTTGCAAAGTTCTGGAGATCCCAGAACTTTTTTTTTGTTATCTCCCATAACAAAAATATGGGAGAAGAGACATGTCTTTCAAGTGGATTTTCATCCAAGTAACCTTGTTTTAATCAATCTCTTTTAGCAGATGGAAAACAGTCACCTGACCATCTACAGAATCGCTTTTTGAGCAGGACGTGACTTTGCATCCTGATGGTATGGATACCTCAAGGAAAAGGGTTGGTGACTTGCTCAAGGCCACACAGCAGTGAGTTGACAGGGCCTGGACTCCAGTTCATGTACTGAAGACAGTAACTGCACTGCTGTAACATCTACTCATGGGCACCACAGGTCAACGGCATCTACTTAGTGCCCTAACAGGCCTCAACACGCCAAATACCCTCCAAAGTGTGAGGTATTTTATTATTGGTGGCTTCATTCAGATATTTAAGTGTGAAGAGTCACTACCAACAATCAAGACAGAAAAACAATGGTGAGTAAAGAAATTTAAACTTTCTGGCACGCCATGTTGCAGTATAAGTCAACACATTATTGATGAAAACATGAGAATTACCTCCAAGGACCATCCCAGCCTGACAGCACTTTCTAAGTCGACATGCTGGGCAGTTTTTCCTGCGGATTTTATCAACAATGCAGTCATTTCTTCCAGCACATAGGTAGTTATGCTGCCCTAAAAACGAAAAAGTAAAAATTATGTACAGTATGTAAAGATCACTGGAAATTCTAGGCAAAGATGATCAAAACCAATAGATGCACCTCAGCCAGCCTCTTCTTGGGTACCACTGAATGCTGGTGATGCGGAAACTGCCCGAGGCTTTCCCTGTGCCTCCACGAGACGATACTTATTAAATAAATTCAAACATGTAGTTAGGTATTAATAAGGCAATCACAGTTATCAAATACAATGCAGTTCTTGTAAGTCTTATGAGAAAAAGAGCTTAGCAGTTCAACATTTAAAATGTGCGTGGGGAGAAAATTTCTGAAAATGGAGAGTCCTGGCATTTTGAGGGGTTGACACAACTCCTCTCACTGGGGACTGCCCATAACAGACGGGGTTGGCAGCACCAAATCTGGAAGCTCAGCCAATTCTAAATTACAGTCATCTTTAACACTACATTTTGAGTCATCAGACCTGCAAAGCAGATGCGTCATCATGCGAACAAAACGGAGGAAGTAAAGGTGGAGGTTCATCTTCTCTATGCAATCTTTTTGGCTAAATAAATGTTTCAGCCAGGCTGTTTCAACAAGAGCCGACTAAGACACTCTGGCATGGAGGCAATGCCTCTAGCACCATGGTTGACCAGGGACCCAGCGCCACCAAGAATGCAACAGAACAGAAAGGGCCCTCCATTACACATGTTGCTCCATCAGGTACTCGGTGGCATATTCAGGTGCAAAAAGCTCAGCCACAGCCACACTGCCTTTGTCCAACATTATTCTGGAAATTTGTACAATCTTAAGCTTTGGGGGTAAAAAATCCAGCAGAGTATCTCTTGCTGCCACTGCTCTGTAGATAACACTTTCCAATTTATCCTCTGGTTTTGAAGAGCACATCCAACTCCAGTCTACTTGCTCATTTCTTATTTTAATGGTTCAAATTGCACATTATTGCTTCTTCTCAGCCCAACATAACACTGTCCCTGTACAAGTCCACAGTAAGGCATTCCATTAAGCCCACCCAGAATACCTCATTCTCCAACATTCTTGGTGTCTACTTACTCCTTCACCCTCAGGAGCAGTCATAAAATCTAAGCCACCACAACAAGATGTATGGCCTGGTGACAGACAACAGGAGGCTCACCAGAATAGGAGACATCGTCTAGCTCTTGTCCTTACCATCTGCAGCATCTGCTCCTGGTGAAGCATGGAAATTATTTCCTGAACTCTGTAATAGAATGATGTTCTCTCTTTTTCCCAGGGAAACCTACTGTCTGTGTTAGGGCAGGAAAGGAAGGGGGTTATTGCTATTGTGCCTTTTCTTTTTAATTATTTACTCTCTTTTATGTCCTTTATTTTTCATGTACTCACATCCCAAACTCTCACATGCCTCTATGACTCTCTTCCTTTTCTCCCAATTTGTCTGATTCTCAAAACCTTACTCATCTTTCCAGACTCAGCTTATCTTCTCCCATTTGGTCTAACCTGACTGCTCCCAGGAAGGCTTAGCCATTTCTCTGCAAGCCACCTGCATGTTTGACATATTCTTATTGTAAATATGGTGTGTCTATCTCTCCTAGGTTCTATGAGAGGATATAAAAGAGACAGGGTCTTCAGATCCTTTAACACTTGTGTCAGGTAAGAGCTTGATGAATACTTCTTGGCTAAATGTATACATAATATTTATTTTGCCACTTATAGTCATAAATATCTGTATACTCAGTAATATAAGACCTATAATATTTAAAAATCACGTGCACAAAAGCTTTTATCCCCTTTCAACATTTATTTTTATTAGAAATGCCTTTTCTTTATCATCTCCCTTGCCTATTATAGTTATAGAACATATATTCTATATGTATAGAATATAACAAGATTTTTTTAACACCAGTGTTTGCAGAAAGAGAAATCTGCATTATTCCAAAGAATTTATGTCTAATGATATGAGACTCAGGCTCAAAGAGAGTAGAAGAATGAACTCTGGATAAAGCATAGAACTTCGGAAAGCTGCTTTAGCTTTGGAAATGGGGCTGAAAAAAAACTTGGTATATAACATGCCAATAAATCCAGGAATTGATCCACATCTTTGTGTGAGGAGAAAAATGAATTGTGACTAAAGATGGAACACACAAAATGAAATCTTGGCTAACAATGAGAAGTGAATTTTCACTGTCACATCACAAGAAACAAAGACTGGTACATGAACAGGTATGCACACATGCAGAGGGAGGGGGGAGGAGAGAGAGAGAGAGAGAGAGAGAGAGAGAGAGAGAGATTTGTTCAAGAATATTTGTAGCGGCAGTGTTTGTAATAGCCCCAAACTGAAAACAGCTCAAATGGTTGTGTACGGCATATGATGTAAAGAGTTTTCTTTGTTCAATGAGAAGTAATGAACTTAGTTCCATGCAAAAAATGTGTGTGAACTGTGTAAATATAACGTACAAGACAAGCAAACATAGAAAAATACTATAGGAACCCATTAATATAAAGGGCCCACATAGTCAAAACCAGTCTATGGTGTTAAGAGTTGGGCTGGTGGTTATTTTTGGGGAACAATTAGAAAGGGCAAATTAGGCTTCTGGGAGCCTAGTGATTTTGAAGTTCTTTGATCTGGTGAGAGTACCATAATTTCACTTATTTATGGATAGTTCATAAGCTCTACAGCTGTGAGTGCTTTTCTGAAAATATTTATCAATAGAAAGGTTTCTTTTTAATTCTTAAATGATTCCAACTAAAAGGATCACCAGACGGGCATTGTGAGGCAGCAAAATCTGGGGAGGTGTGAGCACTGAAGTTCAGAGGCTGAGAGGCAAGCCAGAAGTATTCCTGCAGAAAGGCATCACCTATGTTATAGAACTAGAGCTGGAGCTTCCCAGGGAATCTATCCATGAATCCCAGCAAGGTATCCGAGTGGAGAAAGCACAGACTGTAACCATCCACTGACACAAGGAACTCCAGTGACAGTCATTCACAGCTGTGCCCCTCCCTCCAGCCCCTCTTCCCACACTTGGCCTTGAAAAGGTCCTAGTTGGCTGCTGGTGGGCCTTGGACCTCTCAGAGTAAACAGAGAAACTGATCTTCCTTCTTCCCTGAAGGCTTCAAACCCCAAACAGTGAGTTCTGAACTGGGGCAAAGTTTGAAATTTTATGGAAGTTTGACTATAATGCTGGCTTGGGCATTACTGAAATTAGCTGCTCTTCTGATTAGGAGCTGTGGGATTTGGCCTAGAATGCACAGAATGGAAGAACTGGCTTACAGGTCAGGTTTTGTTTTTAGAAGTTATACTGATATTGGCATTTAGAGGAAATACTGTGCAATTACACACACATGCATATGAGCCAAACAACTAGGTGATTATTCTGACATTGCTAGAAATATGAATGTAAATCAGTAATTTTTCAACTGGAGACAGTTTTTCACCCTCCCTCTCCCCCTCCTCAGGATGTTTCCTGGAGACAATTTCAATTTACACATCTAGGGGGAAAGTATTAATGGATGAGAGGCCAGAGATGCCACCACACATCTACCACGTATAGGACAGCTCCTATAACAAAGGACTCTCTGGCCCAGAAACCTCTACAGTATGAGACTAAGAGATTTTGATGGAAATTATGAACCCCATACTTTCAAAAAGATATATCTTCTAGGTCTTTCCACTGAAAATGTCTGAAAGTAAAGATGACAGCAGCAGCAACAGACACTAGAGTGCAAATTGTCATGTCTAATGTTTGCTTCCAAAAGTAACCAGCACTCTTTGGAGAAATGGCTGGTCAGGACTGGGCAGGAAGTGTGTCATTTGAGCCTGGGGTATTTTGTGGTGACAGAATTCTATTTCATTGAGAGCTAATAAAGTTGTGTCAAAGTCACAAGGAAGGATAATATGGCTTGAGTATGATTTGTGCTCTCCAAAACTCATGCTGAAGTTTCCTATCTCCACTGAGCTATTAAGAGGTAGGACCAGGGGGGACATGCAGGGTGTGAGGGGATCAGGCCTTTGCCTTTGAGAATGGAGTAACTGGTTCGTGTGGCTGATAGGCTGATGGAATAGAGTTAACTGGCTATCTCAAGAGTGAGTCTGCCAGAAAAGCTAGTTTTTGCAAGGTCTCTCTCTGCTCTGTCTTACCATGTGATACTCTGCACTGCCTCAGGACTCTCGAGGAGGCCACTGGTATGTGCCACCCCTCAAGACTGGACCAGAACTGTGAGCCAAAAGAGAGCTCTTTCCTTTATAATTTACCCAGCCTGTAGTATTGTGTTGTTAGCAACAGAAAGTGAACTATGATACTGACTGGAAACCAGACAATTTGAATAAATTCAAGTGATTAAACACACTGAATATATAAAAAGCCAAGAGTACGTAATGACACGTAGGAAAGGAAAAAGTGAAAGAAACAAAACATACTTAGTGGGAACCACTGGAGGTTACTAAGGCGCAAACTTGTTACTCAGAAAATTGATAATTAAAGGTAAATAATTAAGCATTTTTAGGCCTTCCATTATAAAATGTATTTTAAGATTACCAAATTGCCTTTTGGAATGAAGAAAGAACTATAAAAAAGATTTATAGCTAATAAAATCAGAAGGGATAATAAAGAGTAGAAAACCATCCATTTTCAGTCCCTAACAAAATGACCACCACTTGTGAAGTCCAAGAAAGCAACTAAAATACCTCTTCATTTTATAACTGCGTATCTGTATGAGGCCTAATTTTCTTCATATGCTCCAACCAAAACAACAGATTAAATGTGAATGCAAATAGAAGAATTCAGCTGTGTTCTATTAAGGAAGACACTATAATGACTTATAAAAGTGTAAAAAATGCCATTCTTTATTGTTTATAAGTATATATTATTTTTATTTTAAAATAACAAGATTTTTGAAATGTATTTTTTGTCACATATTCAGAAGACTGAGCATAACAATTACACTAATAATTATAGGAACCTGTAATCACTATTTAATTGGATCAATGCCATTTTTGTCAAGAAACTTTTTGATTTAGAAAGTTAACAT